GTTCAACATATCGTTATTCCTTAAAAGCAGGCTGTGGGATAGAAACATAAGCGCATCTAAGTTACTATAAAAACTTATGAAAAGACAGAAGTATTTGGTTAACCTACTGAAGCTTTACCAACATTGAGATCCTGTAAGGTACGGGCAATGGAATCGTTGACTAATCTTGTTTGCAGCAAATGCGGGCGATTGTCGTGCCGTTCTCGTGACAGATGAAGGATCACGGCCTCTAAGCTCCGACTTTACGCCTGCTACAGAGCGAAAACGGTTACAAACTTTGGTAATAACTGAAATCACCTTACACTTCAGTGAAATGAGCCATGCCGGCTTAACATTATAGGCATATCAAAATCCCGAACTCATCGGAAGTTGTTTTTCTCGTCTTGAGTACTCAAGGGCATTGACGAAAAAAGATCTCAAAACGAAAGTACTCTTCAGGTACCATGTCATAGTCTAATTTCACTGCAAAGGGTAAGAGGTGAAGATAATTTAGGGATTGGTTTATGGACGGTTGGGCTTCAAAAACTGTGAAGGAGTCGGATCTTAAGCCACCGCTGATCAGTGAGTCCACGAGAAAGGTATTTTCGGAGTTCATAACAATTAACTCGTACACTTGATATTCACAATGTTATAAAATTGTAAACGCTTTCAATTGGCACGGTTCCAGAGACGTCTCCTCAACACAATTGGGGTATCTCGCGGCTTTGGAGACCATCATCTTTACACGGTTGACGATCACCTACCAATCAAACCGTTTTTATCTTCTGTACCCGAGGTTGGTTAGTCTAAGAATCTAAAAAGTGCTTAAACTGATACGCAGACCTGATCAAATACGAAAAGGCAAACAACAATGTTACACGTAAAAATTATAGAAAATTAGCAATCAGGTTGCGCAAAAATTTCCACCAACGTTTTTACTGAAGGAAGGTCGCGCGTAAAGTGAGTGAAAAGAAAGACTAAACATTTTTATTCTTTGAGAGTAAGCAGTGCAACATTGCAAACATCTGATAAATTGAATATGGAAAAAAAATTAATGAAGAAAAGATCATTCTTATCTAACCAGGACATAAACCAGATTGATAAACAAAATTGAATGTAAATTTTAGAGAGACAATTCGCAGTGTTTCCAATTTCACACCATTTTCTTGCACAATTTGTTGTTTCTGGTAAAATGTGTAGACACTATGAAAGTACCCTAATTGATCTAAACTTGATCTTCTTCCTAGACGGCCAAATCATTTTCCAAGTACTAAAATGGAATTCTAAGGCCAACATGTTGTATCAGAAATTTGCGATATCTCGCCATACTTTCCTTCAACTCCTTGCCTCTCATCACGCATCAAAATTACGAGTTCATGCCTAGTATGTTATTATTGAATTTCACGGTTAAGAGTAATGACCTAAATCATCTTTGTGCAAGGTGCCTTCCAAAAATAACAAACGAGATGTAAGAAGAAATAAAGTGGAAGAAAAAGTTATAGTTAAAACACTGGAAAAATTTTTCGAATGAGCGATT